GAGTTGGAGGTTGCTGTGAGCTGGGCTGATGCTACCGCACTCCAACCAGGGCAACATAGCAAGACCCCGTCTCTAAATAAAATACAAAAAATCAGCCAGGCTTGGTATCGAGTGCCTGTAGTCCCAGCTACTCAGGAGGCCGAGGCAGGAGGATCGCTGGAGCCCAGGAGTTGGAGGCTGCTCTGAGCGAGGCTGACGCCACGGCACTCACTCTAGCCCTTCTGCTTGCCAGAAACTCAAGCATGCCCAGCCCTGTTCTCCCCAAAGTCCTGGCACGTTTATCGGTCACCCAAAGAAACCGAGAAAGGACATCATTAATTCAACCTGTCACTAAGGGGACATTCAGTTGCTCCCGAGGAATTCGCACGACCCAGAGCCAGAAGGGTGGACGGCGCTCGTTGCCGAGTGTTGTGGCGCGGGTGTGCGGACACACACACACACAGACACACACACACACGCACACAGCGGGTCCTTGGCCCAGGTCTGCGTGAAAGATCAGGTTCTCTCCAAGTTGTCAGTGTTGCTCCTGCAGCCAGAATTTATCACTCGAAACTTGTCACCGTCCCCCAGCTGCCCCTCGCTCCTGTGGGCCGTGAAGTCCCCGGGCTCTGTGATCACTCCCATGCGATCTTCGTGACCGCCTGGCCTTCTTACCCCGTCTGGCAGCAGAGGAAACATTCTCAGAGACCGAGCAAGCCGCCCCGTGTCTGACAGCCCCACGCCCCCCAGAGCAAGGGTCCGATGACACAGAGGAACTTCCCGAAACGTCAGAAAGTAAGAAAACACATTTATTTCAAAAACCTGACCGCCCGGGGCTCACCAGCGTCTTGTGAGACCTGCTGGCCCGGAGCCGGAAGACCCAGCCTCTTGCCGGACCGAGAGCAGAGGCAGGGCCTGGGCAGGGGGAGGTGGCCCTGCTCTGTGACCAGAGTGAAGGCAATTCCTGGGATGGCCCAGCCCGGGGTCCTGCAAAGGGACAGCTTCTCTCCTGGCCCCGGCTGTCCCTGCCAGGACTGGGGGGTGGCGTGGGGTGGGCGCTGGGTCGGGCCAGGCGGCAGCATTCTGCTGTATGGTGCCACGGTCAGGTTCAGAGTTGACCCAGAAGTGGCCTCTGAAAGCCTAAAACAGTGATTCTCGAGTTCTCGCCCAGCCAAACGGACCGGAGAGGTGTCTGCGTCACCTGGTAGACAAAGGAGGCCTCAAGCGACAGGTGGAGGCAGACACACAGGTGTACGGCCCACCTGAGACGCGCTGCACCTAAACCTGGCCAGGTGTTACCTGCACCCAGGTCTGGGAAGGAACAGCATTGCCAGCAGGGGACAGTGTGTGAGCTGCCACTTCCTGGCCACCCGGGGGGCTCATCCCTGCCACACGGCCCTCCCTTGCTTGTGTGCCAGCCAGGGAAGTGGGTGTGCAGTGGTTCTCAAAGCGGGGTCCCCCTGGGGTCTTGTCAGAAACACACGGTCCCCGGTCCCACCGGGGACCTCCAAGCAGTGACCTTGCCGCAGACCGTCCGAGGGGACAGCACCGCGCTAGCGGAGCCGCAGGTAAGAGGGGACAGAGTAGTTGAAGAGCAGGAAATCCATCTTGTACAGGTCGTAGAGGCGCCGCTGGTAGAACGGGCTGATGTCCTGGAAGAGACGCGCCGCCAGCTCGCGCGGGGCAGTGGCAGCCGCTTTGGGCCGTGGAGGCGGCCCGGGGAAGCTGAGGCCCGACGCGCCGGCCAGGCCCAGCACGAAGGCGGCGTCCTCGGCCAGGGTCTCGAACTTGCCCACCACGTCGTAGCGCAGCAGGCACGGGTGGCACAGCGCGTGCACGCGCTCCCAGTGCTCGTTGAAGGGCTCTTCGCGCCGCGTGCGCGGGTCCAGCAGGTAGGCCAGGAACTCGGCGAAGCGCACGTCGTGGCCGCGGGCCACCGCGTCCGGCCGCGCCCCGGGCCGCAGGCGCCGCACGATGCGCGTGCCATAACGCAGCTGGAAGGCCGCCCCCCAGGGCCGCGCCAGCTTGTTGCGGTAGGCCGAGGCCAGGCGCTCGAAGGGCTCGCGCACGAACAGGAAGGCCAGGTAGGACCGCAGGCGGCGGTTGACGTCGGCCGGGCCGAAGTCGGCCAGCGAGGGCAGGCGACCCGGGGCGTGCGCCTCGTGCGCGGGGATGGCGCGCGGGTCCCCGGGGGCGCGGCCGCTGAGCGCCAGCAGCACGCGCTTCCAGTTGGTGGAGGCCACCTTGGGCACGTAGCAGTAGAGCAGCCCGTGCGCGTCGTCCACCAGCACGTGCCGCAGGTCCCGCGGCTGCAGCAGGCGCTGCCGGCGCGTGTGGAGGCTGCAGGCGCGGCGCAGGAGGTCGCGCCGCTGACGGTGCACCTCGGCCAGGGCTGAGCGCGGGCCCTGCGGGCAACGGGAGGGGTCAGGGGTGTTCCCGGACTCCGGCGCACCCAGGCACTGGGGACCCGGGTTTGGGGCTCCAGGATCTATCCTGCGCCTGGGCTTGGGGACAACAGATTATCTAACCTTGCTTCTCGTCCCACGGGGCAGGATGGGACTGATCACCGGTGCCAGGTACGCATGTGGGCAGAGGTTGGAATATAGAATTAAGAGGCATGGAAAGGCCGGGCGCAGTGGCTCACGCCTGTGATCCCAGCACTCTGGGAGGCCGAGGCGGGAGGATCGCTCGAGGTCAGGAGTTCGAGACCAGCCGGGGCAACATAGCAAGACCCCATCTCTACTAAAAATAGAAAGAAATTATCTGGACAACTAAAAATACATCTATAGAAAAAATTAGCTGGGCGTGGTGGCGCATGCCTGTAGTCCCAGCTACTCGGGAGGCTGAGGCAGGAGGATCGCTGGAGCCCAGGAGGTTGAGGTTGCTGTGAGCTAGGTTGACACCATGGGACTCTATCCCGGGCAACAGAGCAAGACTCTGTCTCAAAAAAAAACAAAA